CCCCCGCCCTCCCTCCGCCCATGATAATCACTAGTGGATGAAGGTTTCCTTGGAGGTTCGGGTTCTGAATAAAAATCTCTACTCTAATAAAGAAATACAATAGAAAATACTCTAACTTGAGTTAGAAATATTTCATGCCATACTTACGAGGATGTGGAACTTAGCTTCCCATAAATAAAAATGAGAAACTATATCTCAAGTAGTTAGAGAACTTAGATTCATATTCTATATAATTTAATTATCTATGTAGCAACTCGAAAACCATAATCCATTACCCCATAAATGAAAGGAAGGCAAAGGGGGCTTGCCATTAGGCCATAGGTGCTCGCTTCTCTTGTGGGAAAGGTTAGGTTTGCTTTTCCTATGAAATGCAAAAAGATATTATTGATTGGGAATACTTGGTCAACAATGTGTTCCTCTCATAATTATAAAATTATTAATGTAAATATCTAATATGAAATTAAAAAAGACTTAAAAAATTGGGCAATATACACACCACCAATGGAGAGAGAAGAAATGGAAGATACTACAACCGATGATTAAGAACCGCATTTATTTTTTTCAGTCAAATAAAAATAATGAAGGAATTGATCTGGGTCGAAACTACAGTAACATGATCAGAGGGTTAGATTAGTTATTGTAGCTTGAGACGCTCAAATTTGCTTCATAAAAGCCAGTTACCTTATTGGTTCATAGGTAGAGACCAGTGAAAATAAAATAATTTTGTAAAAATAAGTTGTTCTGAAATGAATTTCCCTAGAACAAAATTATTGTGTACTGGTCTAAGGAGAGATTCTTTGGAATAAAATTCCCCTTAATTGAGTTGGGTGATTGATAATGATTTTTATATTGTGTAGGCTACATAGCTGATTGGCCTTTATTTATTTATAGATTTTTAATTTTAAGAAAACGAGCAATAGATGGGCCACATGAAGTAGACGAATGGTTTATTCCATTATAAAGCTTGCTTACCTGAAAGACTGTGTTTCCGATTTTCTTTATAATTGGAAGAGTTGCAACATTAAAAAAATTATGTCTCTTGATTTTATAATCCATTGTTTTTAGTAGAAGCCTTATTGATATTTTGGATGAAAATTGTGAGAATATATTATTCGTGTCCAAATATTCTATTGCAGGGTAAGCTAGTAAATCTTTTAAGAAAAAAAAAAAGTAAATCTTTTAAGAGATAAAATTGATCATCGAAATATGAAATATGAAGAAAGAAAAGACCATCATCATTGAGGTTGTTAATAGAACAATTTATAGTTTTACCACTAAACCGTACCCGCTTCATATTATTATTGAATATGAATGCAACATTTGCCCAAAAAACATGTTAGATATAGTTCTCAGCATGGTGAATACCTGCCTGGGCGAGTTTGACATTTACCCAATTTTTTTTTTAAAGTATGTGCTTCATGGTACATAAATCACTTTTGAACAAAAAAGAATCTAATACACCGAGAATATTGAATAACTTTAGTAAATTATAGGGAAAGAAAAGTGCACTGAGTTCTTTTGCAAATTAATGTTACTAATACTCCTAGAAAATACATAAAAGTTGATTGTAAGAAAGAGATTTAACAATATATGTATCATTAGTTCAATTATAAGATTGTTTAATTATGGTAGGAGTTAGTGCTGAGAGATTACTTCAATTGTCACTATATGGAAATCGAAAATAAAAAATTGAACATACCGGAAATCACAATACCAACAAGAAGATTTTGATGATCAGTCGGTTGTAGATGAAATTATAGCTAGAACAAAGAAACCAAGTTTTTGAATAGTTAAAAGAAATTTAACTAACTAAAAATAAAACAAGTCATCTCATTTATGATAAGAAATTTGAAGCATAGAAGTATAGTGAAATAGAAATGTGCGAGATATTTTTACCAAGGAAGCCTATTTTACAATTTAGGTGAAAAAAATAGAAAAAAAATCAACTTAATTAGCATTACTGTAACAAGATAAGAAACATAAACAATGAATATAAATTGCATACATGCCAATTGAATTTTGCCACATGTTAATTAGCGCAATATATCTTACCCTAAAAACTTGTTTCAACCTTCAAACTTGTTAACTAAGAATCCTCAGCTCTCACTTATGCCTTATGTCACTTTTGAAATTTTCTCTTGGTGGGTATAGACATTTTGACAGAGGATATATTGAGCTTGATCATACAAAAAATAATACATAATTTAGGCCAAATTTGCTATAAAAATGATATTAAAGGATACAAAGATAGAGATTTAACACTATTCGTATCATTAGTTCAATTATTAGAAATTATAGAATTGTGATTGAGTCAATGCTGAACGATTAAGTGTGATTGAATGGTAATTGGAACAAAAAAAAATCATGAAATGGAGATATTTCCCATATCATTTGTTCAATTATAAGAAATTGTAGAATTGTGATAGGGATCTACGCTAACAGATCATTTCAAGTCTGATTGAATGGAACTGAGAAGAAAAAAAAAATCATAAATAAAAAATAATTCGCATCTTAAGGTTGGGGAGTAAATTTAACAAGAAACGAAGTTAAAATATAAAAAGTGCAAACTTGTTATTTTTAAAGAAGCTGCACTAGAATTTAGGAAAAATTCAAGGGTATAAAATAGAAAAAGCAGCCCTCCCTATGGCTTTATACATACAAGAAGAAATAACTAGAGTTACCCACTTTCCCTAATGAGAGAAGAAACATTACAACAACAACAACAACAACAACAAGCCTTTATCTCACTACGTGGGGTCGGCTACATGAATCTTTTTTCTCCATTGTGTCCTATTAAAAGTCAAATTCTCATTTAAATCTAATAAAGAAATGTCATTCCTAATATTTTCTAACCAAGTCTTTTTAAGTCTACTCCTACCTTTCTTAACATAAATCAAATCTAATACCTCTACTCTCCTAACCGGGTCATCGGAAGGCCGCCGTTTTATGTGACCAAACCATCTAAGGCGACTCTCTCTAATCTTATCTTCTACTGGAGCAACTCCAACCTTTTCACGCATATGCTCATTTCGTATCCTATCTCTAAGGGTAAAGCCACTCATCCACCTGAGCATTCTCATCTCTGCAACACTTAACTTAGTATTATGCTTCTCTTTTAATGGCCAACATTCGGCACCATAAAGCATTGCAAGCCTCACTACCATCTTATAGAATTTTCCCTTAAGTTTGAGGGGTACATTTCTATCACATAACAAGCCCGATGCATTCCTCCACTTCAACCATCCAACTTGAATTCTGCTGATAATATCCCCATCTATTTCACCATCACTTTGAACAATAGATTCAAGATATCTAAAACGTGTACTCTTATGAATGACTTGATCGCCCAAAGTCATAATCCCCTCACTAGGTCTATTACTACTAAAATTACACTCCATATATTCCGTTTTATATCTACTCAAGCGAAAACCTTTAGACTCTAAGGTTGACCTCCATAATTCAAGTTTACCTTCAACTCCCTCTCTAGTCTTATCAACAAGAAGAATATCATCAGCAAAAAGCATACACCAAGGTACATCGTCTTGCAAATGTCTAGTGAGAACATCCATGACTAAAGCAAAAAGATATAGGCTTAAGGCTGATCCTTGATGTAACCCAACTGAAATAGGGAAATACTTGGTCAATACACCTTGTGTTTGAACACAATTAATAGCTCATGCATACATATCTTTAATGGTTTGAATATAGGCATTATTGACTCCTTTCTTTTCAAGAACTCTCCATAGCACTTCTCTTGGAACTTTATCATTTGCTTTTTCTAAATCAATAAATATCATATGTAGATCCTCCTTATTTTCTCTATATCTCTCCATCAAACATCTTAATAAATGTATGGCTTCCATAGTCGACCTACCCGGCATGAATCCAAATTGATTTTGAGAAACATTAGTATCACGTCGCAACTTATGCTCCATAACTCAGCTCCCATATTTTTAAAGTATGACACATTAACTTAATACCTCTATAATTCGCACAATCTTTTGCATCACCTTTATTCTAAAAAATAGGAATTAATACACTCATTCTCCACTCATCTGGCATCTTTTTAGTCTTCAAAATAGTATTAAAAAGTTTAGTAAGCCAAGAAATTCCTTCATCTCCTAAGCATTTCCACACCTCTATTGGAATATCATCAGGTCCAACAGCTTTTCCACCCTTTATTTTCTTTAAAGCCTTTCTAACTTCAGTCTTCAAAATAGAAGAAACATTGATAAATAAAATTCATATACATGCTAATTAATTTTGTCTCCGTGTCAATTATCTTTTATAATCTATATTTCTCTCAAAAAGTTGGTTGGAACTTTGATAATAAAGAAATTCTTGGCAAATATTAGTCAGGCCACATACAACAAAACATTAAGTCTTTATCTCACTACGTGGGATCATGTCATGATTATTCGATAAGTTTTACGTTGGCTGTCGATTACCTAATGCAACCTTCTATTTTTCTTATCTAAGACTTGAAACTTGGCAACGACAATATCAATAATTGCCTTTTGGTAGTCAATAAAAAGGCAGGCTAAATTAAGCTTCCATGTGGAAAATAATAAATAATGTAGGATTTGTTTGGTATATGTTGACATTAAAGGGTGCATTTTAAAGGCCAAATGTTGACCTCCTGAAAATTCACTACAATGAAATCTGAGTATATTTAAGTGTTTTACTTCGTTCTTGGTTAGATTTTGTGTGTGTGTGTGTGTTTCCTTGTGAATTCTGAGCACATTTAGTAGTCTGTATGCACTGGAAAGTCCTATGTCCATCTATTCGTATATATACATATAGGTATGTAAAGATTTATTTATTTCTTCACTCAATACATGTCGCCGGAGTGCTCAGCAGTTGTATTCCCGTTCCCTTTCTGTTTCAACGTTCCTTTTTCAGCTCCCATCTTTATTGTGTATTTTTGTGATGATTGATATCCTCTATAATTCTAGAATATGTTAGTCTCATCCTTCTTTTCTGTGTTTGAATTGTTCCAGTGGACCATGTGTGTCTTACATGCTTAGAAAACGAGCTCTTTATAATGATATGTCAAGGTAATTTTATGTTCTTTTGTTTGTGTCACATCAAGTACTTTTTTATGGCATTTCTGTTTGTGTTCTTACAGGTTTTTTGTGCTGTTTTCCTTTTTTAGATATGTCTGCTGCGCTGGTTATTTGCCATGTAGTGGCAAGTGTGGAGAGAGTAAATGCCCCGAGCTGTGTCTTTGCACTGAAGTAAGAACTTCTCTTAATTTTTATTCATATGTTTTTGCTATTAATGTATTATCAGTAATTTTAACATCAAATGGGCTTTTTGCTTTTAAGATCATGAATGTGATTCCTGTTAGCATATGTTGCTTATTAGAAAAATAAAATTAGAGAAGGGTTATATTAAGTGCTTGTATAATTTGGGAAAATACATTATAATTATTTATTATAATTATTTTTTTCATTTATTTGCTTTCTATTTTATTCATCATCTATGCCTATAAATAAAAATGTGTTCTGTGAGTAGTATTATAAAGTTCTATTCTCATAACATGGTATTAGAGTCAGTCCCCATCGCACATATCCCCAAGTTGGCACAAGCCTCTTATGTGCCACCAAATTAACATAGCTATCATCGCTCTTCGCATGCTTTTGCATCTCACGTTTGCTTGCTCCCAATGCCCCTTCTCATCCCGCCAGCTCACGCTTTTCTCATCCATCCCATATTCATCCTATGTTTGTCAGGTGGCTGATGCAACCTAAAAATAAACTTTGCTCTAGGAATGCAAATAAAAACGTACTTCCTTTTTCATTCACATAAACCTTAAATAACATAAACAAATACAACAATAAAGTAGTTCTAACACCACTTATAACTTATAATAGAACAAAACACGACACAACTTAAAACTTACAATAGTTTTAAAGAAGAAAGATACTAGTAGAATGGAAACCGAGTGGACATCAGGGAAAACGAAAAGACAACAAGGAACAAACAACCACAATAGAAAGATAGTTAGAAACTCAAGTGAAAAATAAAGAAAACTTAAAAATAGCTAGGACTGCAAACGAACCAAACGTTCGATGAGCTACTCGTTGCTCTGTTCGATTAAAGCTCGTTTGTGATCGTTTAACTAACTAAACAAACAAACTTGAACATCCTTTTTAATACTCGATCCTTAAATAAACAAGCTTGAACACTAATGTGTTCGGTTCATTTATGTTTGCGAACAACATCATTTGAAGCTCGTGAACATGCTTGACATTAAGCTCGATAAGAAGCTCAGTTCGTGTTCAATTCAGAACTCATGAATAAGCTCGACAAAAACTTGATTAATATTTAATTATAAAATTGATAAATGATATATTTTTAATTAATGATATAATTATTTTAATTAATAAATTTTAAAGTAATTAAAGGTTATAATATATGTTGTAGTTTTAATTTTCTTACCATTGCTAATTTATTATATTACATCGTTAGATTTTGCTCATTTGATAGCTCAAGAATATTACTCGTTAGATTTGTTCATGAGCATGCTTGTTTGATGTTTAAAAAAATTTGCTAAATATGTTCACGAACAGAGCTCGTTAAGGCTTGTTTGTTTAAAGCTCGATAAACGCTAAACGAACCGAACACAAACCAAACATGAACACCATTAATTTAAACGAATCAAACATGAACACAAACACGAACCGAACTTGAATAAGCTAAAAATAAACAAACACAAACATGAACACTCACATACTCGGCTCGGTTCATTTGCAGCCCTAAAAATAGCTAGCCTTGACCGTAACAATTTACCAAATTGATGCAACCTAAAAACAAACTTTGCTCTAGGAATGCAAATAAAAAGCACTTCCTTTTTCATTCACATAAACTTTAAATAACTCAAACAAACACAACAATTGAGCAATACTAACATCATTTACAACTTATAATAGAACAAGACACGACACAACTTAAAACTTAGAATTATTTTAGAGAAGAAAGATAGATGTGGAATGGAAACCGAGTGGGCAGCAGGGAAAACGAAAAGACAGTAGGGAACAAACAACCACAATAGAAAGATAGCTAGAAACTCACGTGGAAAATAAAGAAAACATAAAAATAGCTAGCCTTGATTGCATCAGTGGTTCACATCATTCACACCCAAAGTGCATGAATTCGTAGCTCACACATGCGTGCATACTTGCTTGCAGTGGATTCCACTGCTGATGGGCCCTATAGCATTCCCTTACTCGCTGCTCTATGCTTGTATGCTTTCTCTTCTTGCATGTTATTTCACTCAACATATGTGCCGCTTTCTCTTCTTGCATGTTATTTCACTTAACATATGTGCCTCTTTATTCTTCCTTGTTGCATGTAGATTTACCTCTTACCTAGCTAGTGTTTGCTTTCAATCTTGCAGATCTCCATTGCTCCATGATCAATCAAGAACTGACCTTTCCATCTTCATGATGCCTAATGAAGAAGTTAAATAGTAATCTTTATTATCATCCATACATGGAAAGAAATTAGATCCATTATTATAATTATAATATGGAAAGATTAATGTTGTCCTCATCTTTCACTGTCCACATAATGAAAGGTATTTATTATCTTCAGCATTGTCATCCAAACATGGAAATAATCAAAATATCATCATCATCATCGTAAATGTATGGAAAGAAATTGCTATTAGCATTCAATAATTATTATCATATTCATCAAGAATGAGAGCAATCAAGGAAGTATTTAATCATCATGAAGACATCAATATGAATCCACTCTCTCCTTTCATAAGTGATTGGCCAAAATCTCCATACAAGAAAGCTTGTATAGTTAACCACACCCCTCTCTCTCTTCTCTCCTTTTAAGGCACTAGATGCAAGGAAGGGCTTGATTATTTATTTCAATCAGAGATCCAATTATGAGATTATTTTCAAACTATTCTAAAGGAGAATTAAACAAACAATCAAGCACTCAAGTTTGTAATAAAAAATTTTCTGTGATTATGAAGTGCCACTCTTCTTAATTAAATTGATTTTAACTTTTTACATGTGAAGGAAAAAGACTTACCAATATGCACACCAGCTTGTATGAAAAGTATATTGGGCTGAATTATGTTACTAGTGTTGCTTGAGAGAAATACTGAGATGGAGCTTAGTAACCCTAAATTCATGAAGGCCGTGGTGAATTTCCTTCAAAATAATTATTAGTATCTTTCATTATTATTAATTAAATGAACAATGCCATCCATCTTTCTTACATCTCTATTTTTTCCAATCCTTACTAATCTTTATCATTTGTTATCAGGCTAAAATCTGGAACACCTAGTGCATGTGATCCTCTTCTTTTAATATGTTTCTTTCAACATTTATTTTGCTCTTGGTTGTGCTTCCAAAATTCCTTTTAGTTATTGCTCTTTTTCTTAACAAAATTAATTTTATTTTTCTATCATCAATCATACATATAGTTAAACTTGGTTCTCATCTTTTGTTTAATTTATAGTTGAGGATCAAACTTATTTGGAATATTGTTCGGAGAGAAAATTTATTCTTTCTTTATCGGTAATGTTCTTTATAGTTGTTATTGGTCTTGCACAAAGTCAATTGTTTTCCCTCTTGTCAATCTTATAAGAAGTTGAGGACTCGGTTGCTAGCTAGTTTTGATCTTGGTTAGATTCAACTCATCTTAGAATGTCACTTGGAATTAAAAATTTATTTCCTTTTGTTGAGTTTAATAGTAGGTATCTAGTTCTAGTTTCATTCTTTTAAAATTTTAGTTTCCATTTTCTTGCTATCCTTGTTCCATTTGGATGTATCTACTTCCATTTCTACACATGCAATATATGACTTAAACTACCACAATTGTTTTTACTCTATGGAGTAGAGTTTTTGAGGTAGGGTAGAATGATGAAAGAATAAAGAAAGAAAATATTAATCTTCATCATCATCAATATATGAAAATAAATCAATTCATCGTCATCATTTACTTATGGATATATTAGTATTGTCTTCATCATCACCATCCACATAATGAAGTTGATTGCATCATTATTATTCAAATATAAAAAGAATCAAGTTAACATCATGGTATATGTATCATGTATGGAAAGATATTGCTTTCATTGTTATCATCAAAATAAAGAAGATATTAGCACATTATATTCATCAAGAGTGGGATCAAGCAAAAAAGAACTTAATCAATATGAAGACATCTATATGCGCCACTCCCTTTCCCTATATGCTTTATCAAAATCTCCATACAAGGAAGCTTGCACGGTTTAACCTCCCCTTTCTCTCGTGTACGTCTCCTTAGAGGTGCCAGGTGCAATGTAGGAAGGAAGGTCTTGGTTATTTATGCCAAAAACGATTTAATTAAAAAATGATTTCCAAGCTATTTTGAAGTAGAACTAAGCAATCAGGCATTAAGTTTGGAATTAAAAATTCCATGTGATTATGAAGTGTCCTTTACCTAATTGAATGTAAGTTATTTTTTTATGCAAAGGAAAAAGGCTTATAAATATGCACTCCATATATTGAAAATAGATTGGGTTGAATTATGTGATCAGTTTTGCTTGAGAGTAATATAGAGATAGAGTTTAATGGCTCTCTCATTCTTGGAGACTTTGTTGAGCTTCTATCCCGATAATTATTGTAGCTTTCATTATTATTCATATGAATAATACCATCTATATTCCTTTTCATCTTCATATTTTCAAGCCCCACCATTGATCTGTATCATCAACCCTTTATTATTGATTTAGTTTTTTTTTTGGGAAAAAATGAAGAGTTTTTGGTTGTAAAATTTTCTCTAATTTTACTCCACTCTTCATGGTATACAATCTTGATTAACAACTAACTTCATATTTCCAAACTTTGGTACCATTTTATTTTGTGTTTTTTGCATTACAAAACTCTCCAATCCTTAATCTTCAACCATGATCAGTACTCCCATTGCTACTAGTTCAAGGGGTGATAGGGTGGTTGTGGTCAAGGAGGACAGGCTGGTGTTGGTGGGACTATCAATTCGGATTGGTGGGTCGTCTCTAGCGTAACCCGAAATTGGCATGACCCAAAGAAGCTTATATGAATCTGACCTGTTTATCATATGAATCAAAATATTTAAACTGAATGACTCGAATAGAAGCCAACCAACCCAAATTTGGCTTATTTGGACTCATTTATCATATAGATCATGTAATTTTTTAAATAAACATGACCCGTTTAACCCAAATATCTCTCGTTTAACTCGAAAATGGCCAATTTAACTGAAACTTGACATGTTTAACTGAAACTTGAATAAAATTTGGTCAATTTTAGGGTTTTAGAACAACTTGAACCCAATCCGAAAGTTAAGTAGGTCAAATCAAACTTGAATTTTTCGAGTCGAGTTATTTATTAACACCCCTAAGCAGGGTTATAAAAGTCTATTTACATTGTATTTGCATCAATCATTTATGTGAATGGTACTAGCAAAAATATAGTTATCGCCAGACTATCCAGAATGTATTCATAGATTGCTTTGTGTTATTATCTTTATCTAGTTCTATCTGCACTACGATTCTTCATGATGAATATGACTGATTTCTCCAGCAATCAAATGCCTAGGAGTTTCATAGCTAGTTTCTTCCTTGAGCTCTATTATCGTAATTTGTATTGGTACATCCTGAGTTTCAGAGTTCGGTGCATCTTGACATATGATATGCAATAAACAGTTATTTTCTTTGTGGAGCATGTCTTCTCTACCACTTATCGTTATCGGTGATGGTTATCCATGGTTTTTTTTAAAGAACAAATAATTTTCCATACACTATCTTACTATAGTTTGTAATTATTTTATAGATATCCTACTGTCTTGGATGTATTATGCTTCTTGAATTTTTATTAAATTTATTATCCATACACTATCTTACTATATTTTGTAATTATTTTATAACCATTTATTGAACTTAACCATTTTTTATTATCTCATCTTGAAGAAGATAATTACTGACGGTCCTTAATCTAAATATATGTATCACCTAACAACTGACACTTCGTCCACGTTTAGCTAAATCTTTTTTTCTTATTAATGGAACCACCACTTCAGCTATGTTCCTACCCCTCAACTTTCGGAATTTATCGCCTCCTTCCCTTCAAATTTGAATGCTCTACTTGTGAATTGGATAAACATCATCGTCTCAACTACTAATTATTCTTTTCCTTACATCACATTTTTTGTGCTTTTTTTTTTTGCACATACAATCCAATATATACAACAGATGTATATGTGATGTTTATCTTTACTTCTCATATGCCAATTTCAATATTCTCTAGTAACTAGAGGCCTATGAAGCTACTGCTTGCCCTGCTTCATAAACCCAACAAACGATGTATTTGTTATTTTTGCTTTTCACTGTTAAGTTGAACAGATTCTTATTGATTACATGTCCAATGACTTCAAGATTATATGGTTTTAACTTTTTGTACCAATGTTTTAGGTAAGTAGGATTATCTTGACCTTTAGCTGCTTTTTCTGCATTCTCCTCCTGTAGAGACAATGAAGCCCACACATTTCATTGCAATAATGGGAAGGCCTATAATATTGATAAATTTAATAAAAATTGAGTTTTAGTCTCTATATTTCATTTTTAACCGAGTAGTTGGTGACAATATACTTGCTATGATGCACTGACACTTCTCCTTAAAGAGGTGTGCAGTGTCTGACACGTATCCGACACAAGACGCCTCCAACACTGACACATGTTGGACACGCCGAAAATGTGTCCGATTAAAATATATTAAATACAAATTGAACTTGTGTGTCCAACACGCGTATCTTAAATATTTTATAATTTTTTTAAAAATATAATTTCTTGTATTTAAATTTTTTTACTTATTTAAAAAATAAAAATTAAATTTATTATTTCCTATCTACAATGCCAAATCAATTGCTCGCACTTAATTCCCCATTCATCGAATATTCTCATTTTTATTTCTCTTTGGCACTGAAGGTATTTTGATCTCCTCTCTCGATGATTGATAAATTGCATCGGCGCCCGACTCTCGACATTTTAATATTAATTATTTTAAATACAAATTCTAGTTAAATGACTTATTATTTCTAAATTATTTTTAAAATTATACTTTTTTTAAATTTTTATACGCTATTTTTAAAATATAAAAACTATAATACCTTGTTCAACCTGTGTCTGTCTTTTATTTTCAATAATTGACGTGTCCTGTGTCGTGTCGTGTCGTATTCGTGTCTATGCATCATAGCATACTTGAGAGTATCGATTATTCCATCGCAGATTATTTTAGTAGTACATAAATTATTTAAGTCCTGTTGAAAACGTTCTAGTTTTACGCTAATCTATCTCCCCTCATGCATATAAAAGTGCATTGCAGATTTTTTTATAAATATATGGCAAGCCTGATCTCATCATTAATTATCTGTAAATTTTACCTGAAACTTGACCATCATTTTCTCCTTAGGTCTTCCTCTGCTTTGGCAATTCGGTGGCTTCCACCCGCTTCTTGCTTCAAGATGAGTTTAATATACAGACTACGCAATGTGATAACTGCATCATTGTATGTTGCTCTCTTAACATCCCCTTTCTCTGCCTTCCCTTCCCATATCTCAAATGCTCAAGGCTCTTCCTTTTGTCCTATTTAATATGCAGGGATTTATGTTCTGCCTTCAGCAAGTCGCTTGCATTTTTTCTCTTGTAGCCATGATTGTTGGTAGTGATGAACTTCAAGAAGCTTCTCAGATACTGAACTGCCTCTCAGACTTCGTTTACTGCACGTAAGACTACCCTATTTTAAGCACCATAGTTGGTCTCCATGAATTCTTAAACTAATATTATTTCTTTCCTTTTGCAGGGTCTGTGCTTGCATGCAGGTAATATAAACTGTACAACATTGTTTCCAATTTCTTTAGCCTTCTGATTTGGTTTCGTTAAGGTTTCATTTGGGACAATTTTCTTACTGGTTCTTAAAACAGCTTTTTAGTATAAAATTTTTAATTTTTATACTAAAAAGCTGCTTTGAGAACTGAGAAGCACTAAGAAAGCTGTCTCAAATGAGAGAAATTATTGGGTTCGGACACCGGACGCCATCCAGAGCCAATAAAAATGCGCCACATCACCCTCTACTCGGTACTGAACTCGTTACTAAGCAATACCAAGCAGTACCGCAGTACCAAGCTCAGTATGCTTGGTACTGCTCAGTACTGAGCTCCGTACTTCATAGTATCGAGCTCAGTACTGTAAAGTACCAAACGGTAAGCTGTGTCCGGTGTCCGAACCTATAATTTCCCCTCAAATGATACCTAAATCATGCTGATACGTTTGGTTGCTGCACAAGTGCAGACACAGCACAAGGTCGAAATGGATAAGAGAGATGTAAAGTTTGGGCCACAGCCAATGATGGCCGTTCCCCCAGCTCAACAGATGTCCAGATTTGACCAACCTGTACCACCTTCGGCTGGCTATCCTCCTCCACCAGCTTATGGTTACCCTCCTCCACCTCAGGCTCCATATGCGGGCTACCCTCCAGCTGCTTATCCTCAAGCTGCTTATCCTCCACCTGGATATTCTGGTTATCCGAAGTAAATGGTGAGATTACCTGTTAAGCTCTGGTTTCATGCCTTTAATGTCTGTTGGGGTTTTTTTTTGGCGTAAAGATGTTTTCCATTTTTCCTTGGTGGAATTTTTCTCTTATTATACATTGTTTTAGCAGTGCAGAAGGACTAATTGACATTGCAGCATCAATTGTGTGCAAAACATATAGTTGCTATGAAGATTTTAAGAAGATGGACGCTGTTTATTTTGCACTTCTGATTGTTTATTGCGATGTATTTGGCTTGAAGTTAGTTGGATTTTTTTTGTTTGTTTTAATTAAAACGCATCTAGCACTTGTTGGAATCGATGCTTAGATTTTGGAAAATTAACATTAGCCTTAATAAGAGTATATATTTCATTTGAGATTTCTTTCTTACTGTTTCATAAAGTAATTTTTTAATATAAAAAATTATATTAAAAAGATGCTTTAAAAAATAGTAAGAAAATTGTTCTAAACAAAGCCTTGAACTTCATTTGAGATAGTTCTTTTTGTTTTTTAAATCACAACTATAATTTCTATCTAACCGTTATTATTTTGCTGCTCTTAAAATTTTTGTACAGCTAAGGTTAATTACAAGAGAAAAGACTCCATCGCACGGATGCTTTTATCTACACCGTTGAATGACGATCATATGATATTACAACAATAAAAGCAAGCCTTTAAAAATCATGTAATAATTGTAGAAAGTAGAGAGCGTACACAGCCAGAGACAAGGAAGACAAAAGTAATTTTCATTCATGCAAGGAGAGATTACAATATTCTATATATAGACAAAATATAGAGATACAGGCAGGTAACGGCATAGCGAGAATGCCATTCGATGACGTGGCAAGTTCTTGAACTTGAGCCGTTTAGGTGTAGTTAACAACCCCCTTCAAACCAATGATGACTCAGCAGTGAGTTTTCTTGTTAACTGTTTGAACCGGAGAATGGGAAGTGGCTTGGTGAAGATATCAGCGATCTGATCATTGGTACAAATGTGGTGTACCGAGGTGTGTTTAGCTTGAATGTTGTTCCGGATGAAGTGACAATCGACATCTATGTGTTTGGTGCGAGCGTGATAAATTGGGTTGTTAGCTAGAGCAATGGCAGATGTGTTGTCACAATGAATGATAGTTGGTGTTGTTTGCGGTGAGTGAAAATCTGCTAGAAGTTGCCTTAGCCAAAGTACTTCAGCTGCCTCCATTGTAAGTGAACGGTATTTGGCCTCGGTGGACGAGCGAGCTACAGTTGTTTGCTTTTTCACCTGCCACGAAATAAGAGAGGGTCCCAAGAAATTGCAATAACCTGATATAGAGCGACGGTCGTCGGAGTCGCTTGCCCAGTCGGCGTCCAAGAAGCCTTGTAATTGAAGAGGACCTTGTCGGAGAGGAATACCAAGGTTGGTTGTGCTGTTGATGTAACGAAGCAGCCGTTTGAGCCCGTCAAAATGTTTGTTGAGCGGTTTATGCATGTGTTGGCTTAAAGTTTGGACGGTGAACTGGATATCGGGTTTGATTAGAGTAAGGTATTGAAGAGCGCCGAGGAGTTGACGATAGAGATGGGGATTGGAAAAGTTTTCCTGTGCTTGGGCGGTGAGATTGATTTTGCAGGAGCTGGGTGATGAAACGGGATTGGTGTTGAGCATGCCGGCCTTATCCAATATGCGTTGAGCATATGGTTTTTGGTGTAGGATAACACCGTCTGGGATGGGGATGGATTGGATGCCCAGAAATTGGGCTAGCGTGCCGAGGTTTCTCATGTGAAAACGGGAGTGAAGGTTGGTGAGGAGACGGTTGAGTTCAGACTGGGAATTGCTAGTAAGTAGAATGTCGTCGACGTAAATAAGTATGTACATGCGGGTTTTGCCATTTTGGTATGTGAGGAGAGATGGGTCGGCGGGGCTAAGCTTAAAACCGAATGTAATGAGATGATTGGAGAGGGTAGCGTACCATTCGCGGGGTGACTGTTTGAGTCCGTATAAAGCTTTTTTGAGCCTGCAAACGTAGTTTGGATGGAGAGAGTCTTGAAAGCCTTGCGGCTGCTGCATGCAAACAGTTTCAGATAGTGTTCCATGTAAAAAAGCGTTGGAAATATCAAGTTGGTGAATGTTCCACTTATAGTGTAAAGCAATGAGAATAAAAACGCGAACCGTAGGCATTTTAGCGACGGGGCTAAAGGTTTCTGTGTAATCGATCCCGTGTTCTTGATTAAAGCCCTTGGCGACGAGTCTGGCTTTATACCTGGCGATGGTGCCGTCTGAGTTGAGCTTTGTGCGGAACATCCACTTACATCCGAAGATGTTTTGGTTGGATGCGGGAGGGACTAGTTCCCATGTCCCTTGTTCTTGTAGTGCTTGAAATTCTTGCGACATGGCAAGGCGCCAGTGTTTAGATTTTGAGGCTTCATTGTAGGTAGTGGGTTCAATTGGTTGAAGAATGTGAGCGAGGTCGAAAATCTGTTTGGGTTTGGCTTGCCGATTTTGGAACGAGTTAGCAGTGTGGCCGGTAGGAATATTGGGTTGGGGCGAAAGGTTGTCGATCACGGTAGTAGGGGATTGAGAGATAACGGGAGCGGGATCATTGTGCGGAGGCAGAGTGGTGTGTTGAGTAACAGCAATGGGTATGTGTGACGGATTTGGTATAGGACATGTATTTTGATTAAGCGTGATAGGTAAGCCAGTGGAAGGGACTAAAAGCATAGTGGGTATGTTGGGCTGAATGTTTTTAGAAGAGGAATGAGTTGCGGTGGCTGTGTGAAAGGGAAAAACGGCCTCATTGAAGATCACGTGGCGTGATGTGTAAATTTGGTTGGTATTATTGTCAAGGCACTGATAGCCTTTTTGAGGGCTGGCGTAACTGATGAAAGTACAAGGTTGCGATAGTGGTGAGAGTTTATTCTTGGCATATGGCTTCAGCCAAGGGTAGCATAGACAGCCGTAGACCTTGAGGTTATCATAGGAGGGTGGGTGGCCGTGAAGGAGTTCGTGAGGGGATTTGTTGAGAGTATTGGGTGAGGGTAGCCGGTTTATTAAGTAAGCAGCTGTCAGAATGGTATCCACCCATAGGTGTTGAGCTATGTGCGTCTGAATAAGGAGAGCCCGAGTAGTTTCGGTTAAGTGGCGATGCTTGCGTTCGGTGACGCCGTTTTGAGGTGGGGAGTAGGGGCAGGTGAATTGGTGAACAATGCCGAGGTGTTTAAGAATAGTTTTAAAATTATTCCCGGTGAACTCGCCTCCGTCGTCCGTGCAAAGGGTGTGGATGCGAGTATTAAATTGACATTCAATGAGACGATGAAATTCAAGAAAACTAGTTAAGGCGTCAGACTTGCGAACCAGTGGATAGATCCAAACATATTTAGAAAAATCGTCTATGAAGGAGATATAATAGCGAAAACCTTTATTAGACGCCACGGAAAACGGACCCCATATATCAGAGTGAACAAGATGAAAAGATTCTTTACTAACAGTGTTAGAGTTAGGGAAAGGGAGATGCTGGCTTTTTGCCATTCTACAGACATTGCACATAGACCGAGTAGATGAATTACAAATTGTTTTGTGATGTAGAGCCAAGCCGGAGATGATTTGAGCGGAGGGGTGGCCTAGCCTTTGGTGCCAGAGATCCGGAATCGCTTGAATTGATAAAAGCGCGAGCTTGGACGGGTGTGTTGGTTTCGGTGAGGCGGAGTGCAGCGGATAAAGACCGTTAATACATGGACCCTTGAGAAGAGGGCGGAGAGTCCTCTGATCCTTAATTTCATAGCCATTTGGAGAGAAAGTTATAAGGCATTTGTTATCTGTTGTTAGCTAATGAACAGATAGCAAATTGAATGAAAGATTTGGAACTAAATGAAGATTTGATAGCATTAGCGTACCTTGGGGCGTGGGGAGGATACCTCTACCTGTGTTGTGGATCGGAATTTGTTGTTCGTTTCCAAGAATTACCTGATTAGTACCGGTGTATGCTTGAGTTGTTTGGAATTGGTTTGGGTCGGCAGTAGGTGGGAAGAGGCGCCGCTATCAAGAAATCATTCCGTTGATGAGGATGGGTTTGGCGTGCTGAAGAGAGCAGCTGTGTTTTGTTTGGTGTTGTACTGCTCATCGTGCCGATGCCTGCACTTGACTGCCGAGTGACTGTATTTCCCGCAGATTTGGCAGTTGACGGGATTTCTTGGTGTGGAGTTGCGGCGATTGTGGTTGGAATTGTTTTGCGGCAAGCGGTTCTGAGATGTGTTACGACCTCGATTGTTGTTGTAGCGATTGCGTCCACGACCACGAGATGCCGTGAGGGCCATAGAGTTTCCGGATGTTTGAAGGGATTGAAGCTCCCTTGACGTTTCGCGCGCAAGATTCAATTCCTCGCTGCAAAGAAGAGTGTAGAGATCATCCAGGCTTAATGGTTGCAGATTTGTATGAATCACAGTTTTGAAGGCTTGGTAAGTGTTGGGAAGACCGTCGAGAGTGTAATGGATGATATCTTCGGCATTGAGAGGAGCACCTGCTGTAGCTAAGGAGTCGACCTTGGATTTAATGTCGAGTAGGTATTGAGTCATATTTTTGTCTTTCATTGACAAATAATGAAGTTCATGCCGGAGTTGAGCAATTCTTGACCGGGTGCTTGATTGAAGACGTCGATCGAGCGTGGTCCAAATGTCCGAGCAATGCTCGACGGAGAGGACGTAGGGAAGGATAGTAGAGGAGATGACGGAGTACAAGGATGCTGCAAGATTCTGGTCCACGTGAAGCCATTCGGCGTTTTTTGTGTTTGGTATCATCTGACCGGTAGAGTCGGCGATGTTCTTGGGCGGAGGAGGAGAGGATCCGTCCAAGAAACCTTCGTAAGAATTTGCTCTGAAAAGTTTTATTACCTGAGTTCGCCAAACCGGAAAGTTGTCTATGGATAGTGGTTGAGTAATGACGTTCTTGATGGTGGTCATCAGGAATTTGAGGGTGGCTGGGACAGTATGGATTTGCGGCATTGGCTGTGATGTCGTAGATGTTGAGGCGTCGGATGTCTGAGAGGAGGGTGGGGACGCCATGAGCGGAGCTAGGGCCACTTAGTTGCGGGATTGAAAAAGGAGAAACAGGGAGGGAAAGAAAGAAACAGGGAGAAGGGTTTAAAGAGGCTCTGATACCATGTAGAAAGTAGCGAGCGTACACAGCCTGAGACAAGGAAGATTAAAGTAATTTTCATTCATGTAAGGAGAGATTACAATATTCTATATATAGACAAAATACAGAGATACAGGCAGGTAACGACATAACAAGAATGCTGTTTGATGACGTGGCAAGTTCTTGAACTTGAGCCGTTCAGGTGTAGTTAACAATAATTATCTATTCATTAAAC